TTTTATATTTCTATAGATAAGCTTGATTTTATTTTAATGCTGGAGGAAATATAACACGGAGAGCATATTACGACAACAAATATTCGTCCGTTATTTAGCTTTGTAAATCTTTAACAATTCGGTTGTTTTTAACCAACTATCGTATGTTTTTCGTTCAAGAAAAATGCACCAGCTTTGTTTGCCTCCTATCGCGGGGTCCCATCGGCAAAACAAAGAAGACTTTCATTCAATAATGTTATATCTTTCCACACATAATTTGTTTTAATAATTGAATGAAATATAATTTTACACCAAATATTCAACTGTTTATTAAAGCTGTTCGAGCAAGTATGATTAAAAAAATGACCGTAAATTTGTGTTGTTGAGAGATGTTTATATTGTATAAAGGCCTTGTCTTTCACTTTAAAAAGCTAAAAAATATTCAAAAACATTTACAAACGCCAATTTACTGACAAGAAATTCGTCATTTTGTATTTTGCATTGCCTTTTGCATTATTTTCTATTTTGTCTCAGTTGTTCTTGTCAAGTTTAACTGAAAGTAAACTTCGCCTCGTTCTGTAAAAGACAAAAGTAAGCCGTTTAATTTTCTGCTGGCCTTAACCAGTTTTCAAGTCTGTTTTTTGGTCTTGATTTGTCCTAAATCTCCAGATTTTCGATTTCAATGAAAGACATCCGAGGCAAATTTCACTTAACTTGATATTTAATTGGATTATCTGTAGTTATCTTTCGTTTTTCTTAAAGTAAAAGAGATTCAAAGACTAAAACTGTCAGCCTTGAAAAATTTTGTCGAAGAAAATAACAAAACTAGCCACTGAGGGTGGCGGTGAGTTGTGTACAAAATTCCTAAGTGGGAGAGTGTAATCGCGCAAAAACAAAAAAAAACAAAAAAACAAAAAAAACAACAAAACAATGTACTGCATTTTGATTCGATTTCACTGCATGGTTTTCATTATGGGAGAAATTATCTTCATCTCGAATGAAAAAAATTGAAGATTTTTCCCCCGATTTTATTTTTACCTTTCAGTTTCATTCAAATTGTTCTCCCTGTGACTTCCGTATTGGGAGCTCCGCTTTTAGGCAGTGCCTAAATATATATATTAGTTTATTATTTTGTACATGAAATATTCATGCCTTCAAGTAACCGATGCATCAACTGTTTTAGCAACAAGCTAAAATGGTCAAACTGTTTGTTGGTCGTTCGCCAAAAGTATTGCATTTCTAATATAGAGGCGTAGTGGGAAGTTTTCTGAGACATTGAAGTCACCAAATCGTGCAAAATCTCTGCGGGTACAATCATCGTTTGTCCGTGGTTAGTCAAATTATAAGGCCTAAAATTCAAAATGTCCCAAATTCAACTATATCTAAGCTTCGAAAATTAGCACCAAAGATATGCAATAAGCTAACAAGCACTAGAGGTTGAAGGGTAACACCTAAACAACAAAATTCTAAAAAAAAAAATTAAAAAAATGTTCTAGTCTGCAACCACGGTAAAATTAATTTTTCTTCAAAGTAAACAAAGGTTTTTTTTGCGATTTTCGTCATTTTCAACCTAACTTTAATATCGTTTCATCGTGTCTTTTGTGGTGCCCAACTTTCCAAATTTTTACAAAGAAATGTTTCTTGGAATTTCAATAAGCATTTACCGAGCTACTTAGGTCGCAAAGAGCTAAAATCCAAAAAAAGGATAAAGTGGTTCTATAAAGGAATTTCAACAATATACAAGTCATCGAATTCTCGTAGCTTCAAAATTTCTGTATTTCGTGGCAGAATTAACTGTAACGTGTTGTTTAATCTAATAGACAACAGTTTGTATAAATTAAATTCGATTTTCATCGTTGTTGAGTACAGTCGAAAGACACCTAAGAACCTTGTTCAATCGCTTGGACAATCTGTGTGGAAATACAAATATTGATACGTCTTATGGCTCCGTCAAATTTATCAACCAAAAAGGCACTGTCTAGCTTGATGTGGATGTATGGGACAGAATGTCAGAGGCTCTCAAAAATTTAGACCAAGTGGAACGTACAGAACATTTAGCCAGCAGTAAATAATTCTATATTTGTGAGGACCTTGTAGCGAAGTGTTCTTTATGTTTAGAATATTCCAATGCTGTTATTTGAAGTAGGCAGTTTGATGGCCATGCTTGTAATTTTTGAAGGAGAGTACCCTGGTGGTAATTGTTATAATGTGTTATAAATGATGCATTATCGGAATTCCCACCAGGGTACTCTCCTTCAAAAAGTACAAGCATGGCGATCATAAATGATCTGATTTCACTACTGTTTTTTGATGTTTTTACCGGTGTTCAATTTTTTTAAAGAAAATTATTTTGAGAATTTTGTGGAAGCATTTCAACTTGCATTATACCACCACAATGATGAAGACGATTACCCACTGTATAACCCTACTTTGACGAAAGACTTTGTAGATGAACATCCTCCTGGACTATTTGACATGATCCTAAACTCTATAATAAAACCTGAAACCAGCAAAGAAAGACTGTACCTTAAAGAACAGAGAACTGCTGTTCTTCTCCATATCATTAATTACTTCAGGTAGTACTATATTACTTTTACGTTTTTTTCGTCTAAAATACTCTTTTTACAATGAAGTATTCAATTTCAATTTTACTATTGTTTTAATAGACCTCGAACAAACTTCCCATTTGCCAAAAGATATGAGAATTTTTTGGAATAACCAATGAACATCAAGATCAGCGATAAGTAGTGGGCCTTTGCTGGGATACAGTATGGCTCCAAGAACTATAGATCGCCACAATAGTCAACTACGGAAAGACTACCCCACTCTCCAGCATAACAAGATTCAAAATGCCACTAAGGGTTGTTTTTCTTTTTTATAGATAATCAATCTATATTATTATTATCGCCTAATATTTTCCATTTGTCTTTTTACAGAAATATTCGTTTATGATGCTCTTACTTGAGGACTTTCACAATATCTATACCATTAGATTACCAGACACCAGCCTCAAACTGTCTCTTGCCACCCATATGGTCTCCTCTCTTTTAGAAATCCAACCTACTATTCCAGCTATTTGCCTACCTCTTGAGAAGGACAACATTCACTCTACACCTAATATAGTCATAAATGGTATATCTAGAAAATGTGTTGGAGGCATAAAGAAAGAATATGTTGATGAACTAATGAAAAATGGTTTAGATGGGTGGACATGTATTAATGTTGAAGATACCAAGGAACTATCACC